TTTTTTGATTTTAAAAAATAGCATTTTCTGCAATGCTATTTCCTACATACCAAATGTTGTAGTTAGAGAACTTATTTGGCACAAAATTCACACATTTTTGTGCAAATGAAAACACTTTCTGTGCAGGAAACAGCATGTTTTATAAAGAATATACTATTCTGTAAAGCAAATGCTCTTTCTGGGTGCAGAAAATACTGTTTTTTGCTCTCACACAAAAAAGCCACCTGTGAATTTTGTGCATAATAAGTCCTGGCCACAATTATTCTTTCAGTCCAGGAGTCTCTTTGTCAGGACTTCCCAATTCCCATGAAATATATTTTGACCATTTTCCAAACAGTTTCAAATATTCTTTCTATCTCTAAACTCCAACTATTTGTCCCAATCAAATCATTGCACTGGGGGGGGGGGGGAACAGCATCCCTTCTCCCTGGGTATTTTTGGGATAGAAACCAGATAGGATTTACAGTAAGCACATGCCTTTCCAACTTTAAAGGAGGTGTTGTGATATACAAACTGGAAGTATCTCAGTGATTTTCAACATTAGTTTGGAAAGGCTTCACACTACTTACATTACAATTGCCCCCTCACTTTGAGGCCTCCGTTGGGAGAATATGCCCCACACATCCTATGACATGACAGTCTATATTAGCTGGTTGCCTGACCTGAAGCCAAGAAGGCATCTTCCCCTGTGGAACCCAAATAGGCCCTGAAGAGAAATGGGATTTTGCCTTCTCTACATTGCCTCTCCTCTCCTTGAGCTGCTACACCTAAGATCATCAAATCAAACAATCATAGAGTTGGAACAGACCACAAAGGCCATCCAGTCCAACTCTCTTCCATGCAGGAATATTCAATCAGAGCATTCCTGGTGGCCATCCAACCTCTGCTTAAAAACCTCCAAAGAAGGAGACTTCACCATACGCCAAGGTAGTGTATTCCACTGTTGAACAGCTCTCACCATAAGGAAGTTCTTCCTAGGGCTCATTCCCACTTACATTTAACCTGGTTTGTGATTTGCTTTTGCTCTGGATTGGTGAATCAATTCCAGTCCATATGTCGTTCCCACCATGGAAGCAGGTCTTTTCTTGGTCCACTTCTTTTTTGGTATGATTGTCATTCCCACTAATTTGTGCCCCTTCAAAATGCCTGCCAATTATCTATGCGTCATCAGTGACAAAGCCAGCAACACATTCAAGAAAACAAAGGAGGGAGTCATGGGTGCCATGGCCAGAATCCCATTTCTCACTAGTATCCCATCCCTCACTATTTTTGAGGGAAATCCACCATTCCCCCCCTCCTTTCCCAGGACCCGTCCTACATTCCAACCTTCTGTCCAGGAGGAATTCCAAAATGCCCTCCATTCTGAGCTTGACTGGGAAGCATGTCCTCCAAGTCCTGCAAGGCTAGGAGGGCACCATCTCAACTCCCCCCATCCTCCAAGTCCACTGGGATGCATGCAGCCATGGATGTCATATGGAGGACTCTCCCCTGGAACGTATGTAGCCTTCAGTGTCATATGGAGGACTCTCCTCTGGGATGCATCAGCCATGGGTGTCATAAGGAGGACTCTCCCCTGGATGAGGTGCTGCCCTCCCAGTCTTGCAGGATTTGGAGGACATGGGGAATTGAGGTGGTGACCTCCCAGCCTTGCAGACTTGGAAGGCATGCTTCATAGTCAAGCTCAGAATGGAGGGTGTTTTGGAATTCCTCCTGGACAGAAGGTTGAAATGTAGGACAGATCCTGGGAAAAGAGAGGGGGGAAATCTCTCCCCTTGATATGATTCTAGTCCTTCATTGCCACTTGCAGAACATGCTTGCTAATCACTTCTTTTCAAAAGAACCACCAAAAAACTCAGGTCAGGAAAGAGCAGTTATTTTGCATTTGCCTCACTTCATTGTAATTGAAACCGAGTGCAGTCAGTTTGGATCCGGTTTCAAGTGGGAATGACACATATATAACCCGATCAACAATTGGTTTTAAATCATAGTGGGAATGAAGCCCTAATGTTTAGGTGGAATCTCTTTTTCAGTTTGTGGCAAGTTCAAAGGTTGTTGTTGTTTTTTAGAGGTTGCTGTACAGGAGGGTCTAGCTTAGAGTAACTAAAATGTTAGAAATTAGACTTTATTACCATAGTTAAAGAAGATAAAACAAAACATTATGTTTGGGATGTAAAAAACAACAATACATATACAAAGATATGGAGCTAAAACTAAGGACGTTATCACACGGGGCTCAATCCAAACAGAATCCAAACGAAAAGCCGACCAAATCCAGATTATTTGTTTCCACACGATGTCGCACAGAACCCCGACAGAAAGTGGACAGAAAGTGGAAAGAACCGAGATCTTTTGAATTTTGGTTTGTTGAGGAATTGCAATTGTGCGACGGGAATCATTTCGCATTTACCGCGGGTCTGATAACCAAATACGTATTGGGGAGCATTTCCCCGTCATTACTCATGGTTCCTGTGAGCATTCCTCTATCTGCGCATGTGCAGGAGGCTCATTTCAGCTACATAGTTCCAATAAGAATTGATCCCTTGGAATCAAAGGAGGTTATGTAAGTGAGAGAGCCAGTGTGGCTTAGTGGTTTGAGCATTAGACTATGACCCTAGGAGACCATAGTTTGATTCCCAGCTTGGCCATGAACCATGTGAGCCATGTGACCCTTGATATCCCCATGGAGCCCCAGACTACAAAAGAATGGAATTATTTTCAGTCCTCAAAATGTGTTTGTCTAAAAGCCCTCTGGGGAAAGAAGGTCTGGTCCTAAAGGCTGCTTCAGGGCCCCTTTCCTTAATCCCACTCCCCAAAGGTAGTAAAAACAATCTAGAAGCAACTGGAAGTAGTTTCTGGTTCCCCAGAATGTCATATGCAGTGGCTGTTGGCAGTAATATTGCAGCCTGCCAAAGATTCAGGGGAGTTCAAATTGCTCCATTGACCTTCCCACGCCTACTAGCAATGCAATATTTAAAATCTTGTGAAAACCTGTAAAATGCCCCTAATGCCCCGCCAAAGCTGTGACTACCTATCTGGTTCTTTGCCTCGAAATGGCGGCTAGAGAGAACAATCTAATGCAGCAAATTGATCAATGAGATAAGAGCCTGCTGCACAACAGAATTACTGATGCTCAGCTTTGTTGGTGCTTATTGGTCTCTTGTCCCTGTGAAAGGTTGACAGGCTTCTCATTTCAAAGCCACTCAGAACTTTTTCCCTCTGCGGCAGCAGACAGTAGAGAATCAATAAAGTGAGAGCTGCTGCTGGTTGGGACTGTCATCTGCCCAGCCAGGAGGCTCTTTATTTATAGAAAAGCCTTTGAACAGACCACTACAGTTTAGTGTAGTAATAACAAGTTACAGCAAATTCAGAGAGTGGTAGAATGTAACACAGCCATGCATTACGCCCCATTCTAAATTATCTTTGAGGGAAAGCCTGTAATTTGGGGGGATAGGAATGACAGAACCTGGGTCATTGTAACAGATACTTTCTCAGTTATTTTTATGGACAGGCAAAAACACAAAACACCAGACTAAAGAAGTCAACTGTCGTGGGTCCTTCATGCTGTCTTGCTTGGTGGTGACACCTCATGAAATCCAGTCTCCCCTGAACAAATATTTGCTTTAACAGTATGCAAACCAAGCCATCAATTTGAAGCGATGAATCATGATATTTCCCCCTTTTAAGAGGGAAAAAAAGTAGTGGAGGCCTACAGTTTTATCAAACTGCCATGTGTGGATGTGAACATATCCAGAGGTTGCCAGCACTATGTTGAAGAGGAAGCTATTGTCGGAATGATTCTTAGAAGGAATGCTTTGAAATGGTCCAGAACACCATAATTTTTCAGTGATTTCCCCCACTTCCATTGTAGAATGCACTATATTACTTGCAAAAAAGAGAAAAGATTTGGAACAACTACTGATGAAAGTTAAAGAAGAAAGTGCAAAACCAGAGTTATAGCTGAATATTAACAAAACAATAAATAATGACCTCAGATAATTTGTGTAAGTTACAAAGTGGTGATGAACATATCAAAATACAGTACGTGAAAGATTTTCTATATCCTGGCTCAGTCATTAATCAAACTGAAGATTTTAGTCAAGAAATCTGAAGAAGGCTAAGACTTGGAAAGGCAACAAGGTCTGAATGTGCACTGAAATAATGCAGTTGGCAACACTTTTAAGTTCTGTAACTCCATTAAACGTCAGAAAGAAACTCTTCTAGAACATGGCTGCACAGCCCGAAAAACCCACAAAAAACTATCTACACCATTGTATTTCCAGTTTCTTCGCGCGTATGTGAAAGCTGGACAGCGAAGAAAGCTGAGAGGAAGAAAATCAGTTCATTTGAAAAATGGTGCTGGTGGATGGTTTTCTGGATTCCATGGAAACCAAAAAGACAAATGTGATTAGGTTCAAAAGAAAATCAAGTCTGAGCTCCCACTAGAAGCCAACATGATTCAGTGGAAAAGATTACTATATAAAGCTTGGTAAAGTGGAAGTCAGTAGGAAAAAAGGGAAAACTACCTAACAGATGGATTGACTCAATCAAGGAAGCCACAGCCCTGAGTCTGCAACACTTCAGCAGGGGTTGTCAATGATCATGGCTCTTGGAGATTTCTCATTCAATACTGTAACTAATTTGACAGGAAATAACAATTCCCTCCTACCCAGATTGCCTGGTGCCTACTTTTTCAGTTTCTTAGGCTTTTTAATTTACTACATATTTTTCTATCCCAGAGCTAGGGATTCTAGAATTTTTTTTGTTTTCTCCACGGTTTTAAGTCAGGTGACATAATTTGCAGTTCTTGGACTAATATGAACATAGGAGACAATCATCCTTCAAATTCTGTACTTCTTTAAAATGTGTGAAGCAGATTTTGTTTTGTTTTTACTCTAGAATGGTACGGAAAATGAATATATAAGTGTTAGTTGAGTGCAAAGGTGTTTGTACTAGGGACAAGAGAATGCAACATATGTACAAAATGAATATCTTAAGTAAAATTGCACAGATGAATTTTCACACAGCTTTTTGTAATTGTAGAATGATGTGGATGTCTGGGGAGAAGCCAATGTAAAATAATGCTGAATCTCCATGTTGCTATATAATCAATATTCAACCTAATGTTGAAGGGGGGGCAGAATGAAATTAAACAATAAAACAATTAAAGCTGTAGTCCTGTGCCCACTCATCTGTTAGACCTCCCTTGAATTTATTAGAACATAGGACATTATCACACAAGGCTTTTAAATCACAATTAAAGTTGCACTTATTGCATAACCTTGTCTCTGTCTCATTGTTGCTTTGCCTGTGGCGTTTTGTTAAAGCAACCCTTTTCACTGAGGGAGAACCCATCATTAAGCTCCCAGTAGTGCTGCTTTTCCATTACCCCACAGGTGTGAAATGTCCCTTCTGAAGTAGTTCTGATATTGGCAATCCTGTGGTGTCAGTGTCTCACCCTTACCCCTTCTCTTATTTCTCCCTTGCAATTCCCAAGCAGGATGTTTTCCCTTTTTAAAACATTAAATTTCATGAACATAACTCAGAGTAGGGCACATGGAGGAAGGTGAAGTTAAGGAGGAGTGCAGAAGAGAGCACAATGGATGGACTGTCAATGGCAAAAGCAGCACCTTCCTGTTATTGCAGAAACGTGTGATAAATGAATGCTCCCAAACCGGTATGTATATGTTTTACTAACACAATTGCTGTGAGACTGGGACTTGTGTAATAATGTTCTTACATCTGATCAGCCTTGCATAAGATTGTGCTGTAAAAATACAATTCAAGAAAAGGAAAGGAAAAGGAGTAAAAGACAAGATATTGATTTTAAATATTGGAAAGTCTGTTTTTAAGGAAAGAAACAACAACCCTCAAAAATGTTTTCATTATGAGCTAAAGAGTGGGCACAAAATGCAGGGTGAAAAGTTATGCTACAGTTTAAAACTACAGACTGAATATGCTCATTCAGAAATAAATCTCACTGCATACCTTGGGACTTACTGGCTTACTGGGCTCTTCCGGACTGGTCTGAAAAAGCATGACTTCTCACAATATAGCCCCTCAGCTTTTGCCAGGTTATGTTTGTTGTTGTCATCTTCAGCACAAGTTGTTCCATTCTTTTTAGATGCTGTTGGTAACAGTTTCTTGAATCTATACTAGGGCCTTGTCTGATCTGTAGATGTCCTTTGGAAATCCTTCCAGATGATGTTTTGTAGGACATCCATCTAATTATTATTATTATTATTATTATTATTATTATTATTATTATTTATATCCCGCTTATTGACAGACAATCCAAGCAGCTTACAATAAAACAATATAGGACAATAGCTGGACACATCTCCACTGATCCCCCTGATCTCCAGCAACATGAAAGTGGCAATTTTTGGATAAGGAGTTGCATCGCATAAAAGGTAATTAGGGTAATTTGGTTGTTGCAAAGAATCCCAACTGCAATGAACAAAAACAAGAGGTTATGTTAACATCAGTTGAATTTGTGCTATTGCAATTCACTAACAGGGTGCTAGCCTCTGTCATATTTAAAAAAATTAAAAGGTACAAAATGGGGGAAATGGCAAAAGAAAGAAAAAGAAATTCAGAATGAAGATGGGCCTTTGCAGACTGCCAGAAATAGTGCAAATTGAGTCCACTTTAAAGGTTAGGGTTAGTGCTAGGGAATCATGGGAATTGTGTTTGTTTTTGTTTTTTTGAGACATTGAGCCTTCTCTGTCAGAGAGCTCTGGTGCCACAATAAAATACAGTTCCCATGATTCCCTAACCCTAACCCTAACCCTTAAAGTGGACTCAATTTGCACTATTTCTAGCAGTCTGCAAAGGCCCAATGGTGTTTTCTAGTATAGCAATCAAAGCACTTTTTTATACTGGTTTTTGCATTAATTTTGTGGAGACATAAAATAAGTTATATTAAATCAACAAAACCCAAGTAGCAGCTCAACAAAGGTAGGCTAAGAACACAGTTTGGAAAAGTTACTCTTCTGGACTACAACACTCAGAATTCTCCAGCTGGCATGTGGGAGTTGTAGATAAAAAAAGTAACTTTTCCAAGCTGTGGCTAAAGACACAGTCTTGATTCATATTTACATGGAGTAAATCCTCCAGCTCAGTGGAATTTATTTCTGAGAAACTCTATATGGGATCAAGCAGTTAGTGATTACAGTGACAAATGTAGAAACGTACATTGCAACAATGGAAACAGAATGGGAAGAGAGACAACAGGATGTAATTCAGCCACAGATCTTGCCATTATGGGCTTTTTCAGCCAATAATGAAGTGCAACATGAATTACACACTCCATGCTGAAAGCAAGGGTCTCTAGGTCAGTTGTATGCAACAGCCTGTAATGAAGAGGTCTACTGGCTTTTGCAAATGCCTAAATCTTTTCCAGCAATAAGTCCTAAATTAATAGTTTCACTGTCATGAGGTAATGTGGTTTCAAAGCAGTGTTTTACAGAATGAATGTTCCAGTTAACTTATAACATACAATACCAGCCACTGGAAAGGCATTCTCATTGACAGAATTTCATATGCAAACAATTTGGCTCAATGTCATATTCAGATATATCTATTAGGCTCCTGCTTGGTGTAGTAGTCTGAGCATTGGAGACCAGGGTTCGATTCCCTGCTCACC